AGTCGACCTCCAGCCTGTACAGGACGACTGCTTCACGGCAGCCCAGCTAAATAAGTTCTTCCTTCTGGCCAAAGCTGCGATGCCAGAAGCCAGGCCGTCTAACAAGACTTGGTTTAAGCACAGCAGGGGCCCACTGTCAGATATGCTCATGTGGGCCCGCGAAGCTGGATGGACCTTCAAGAGCCCGTCTGTCGTCGTGGACTCCAAATGTTTGGAGATCGAGTTCAATGTCATCTCTCCAACATATGTTGCCAAGCGTTTCGTTTCTCAGTTGAAGGATTACAGGATCCAACAATTCGTCAAAAGAACGGCTGACAAACTCGAAGGTACTGAAGCGCAGACGATCAGTGCTCGAGAACTTCGGTGGGATGATGCTGCCAAGTTTTCCGTTCCAAGCAGGCGCACCAGCTGCCAGACAGAGCCAGAGTCTGTCTCAAGCAAGTCATGGGTGGAGCCCTCCCAGCTGCAGACAACCTGCGGCGTTGGGGATACAGCCTCAGCCCAGAATGCGTTTACTGTGGCAACCTCGACAGCACCTTCCATCGAATATGGGAGTGCCCGCACGCTGAAGAAAAACGAACAGAAGTCTGCCCGCCAGAGATCCTCGCGGATGCTCTTGCAGCTGGCCCCAATAGCTGCCTCTTTACGCGTCCCTGGCTTCCCCGTTTCGAAGTTCCCGACCCTGCCGAGGATCGTGAGCTCTATTATATGAATAGCGAATACCAGGAATGCCCACATTTTGAGTTCTCCAAGGATGCTGTTTTGTACTCCGATGGTTCGTGCCTCCGACCTGGCCTAACGGACCTCGCCCGTGCGGGTTTCGGCGTCTGCGAGCTGGATTCTGAAGCGAGGCTGGCTCGGGGTATCTTTGGCCCTGTCCCCAGGTTGTTTGGCCAGAGTTCGCGTCTGGCCGAACATGCTGGGCTCATGGTTGCTGCGATACATACAGAAGGCATGTTCCCCAGCCAGATAGCCAGTGATTTCAAAGCTTTGTTGAAAGCAGCCATCAACCCCAAGGCTGCGCTTAGTGCTAATACTCTTCATTCGCACTTCTTTCGCAAGGTTGCGGTAGACTTGTCAGAAGGTTGGATGGACATCCGACATGTGAAGGCCCATCGGGAAGACTCTGAGGCCCAAGATGACTCTGACATGATAGATATACAAGGCAATCGGGGTGCCGATTGGCTTGCGCGCCAAGGAGCGTGCAAGCATGATTTCGATCTAAACACGTGTAATGAAATAGTGCACACAGCCAAACTTTATAAAACGTTGTGGATTGCCATTGCCCTGATTCTAGCAGAATGGCCCATCCCTTCGGAGCTGTGTCCTGAACTTAGTAAGGGGAGTGTGGGTCCTCGTTCGTCTAGGGCTCCCAAAATCCCACACACATTCCCCGTACTGGATCGGATGTGTTTGGCGCTGTGCTTGCTGTCTCAGGAGGGTTTCGGCAAGAACCAGATTTGAATGCAAGGCGTTCAACCCCAGTGTCCTTAGGGTCCTGGGTCAGCCAGGACACTTCGGGCACAAGTTACACGTCTCCTGGGTCATACCCCACGATTTCCCTGTTGTTTGTTGTGTCCAGTGTGGGAAGTACTCCACCGAGAAGGCATTGGGTCTGGCCAAGCAGTGCCAGCCCAATAAAAAATCCAAGGAGCTCCGCTCGCTTCTCCGACGCCGTCTGCCCCTCACCCAGCAGGTCCTGCGAACTCCAGCGCCGATAGGTGCAACCCAGCTCGCCCAGGAGATCCGTGCTCTTCAAGAGCGTGGACTGGGAGAGGTACGGCAAGGCGGGACAGGAGGAGGAGCTGGAGCAGGAGCATCCTAATCTGTTTTGTCTCTGTCCTTAGTTGCACGTTGTGGGACTCTGGAACCTTCTGATTTTGCTGATTTTGCTGGAGGAGGAGGAGGAGGGGGAGGAGGAGGAGGAGGAGGAGGAGGAGGAGGAGGAGGAGGAGGAGGAGGAGGAGGAGAGGAGGAGGAGGAGGAGGAGGAGGGGGCCAGGCCCGGTGAGAAACTGGATCTGCCGTGAGATCCGCGCCCTGCTGCTCGAGCTCGGACTGCCGGCCCCCGCCTGCGGGCGGCCCCCGTCTGCCCAAACCCCACGAGGGACGCCCGCACGAGCCGCCCTGCTCGCAGTCTGCTTGGCGCGTCGGGCGATGCACCTGAGTATAGCTTAACCGATCCCCATCCCCAGCGGCGTGGCCTGGGCCCCCCTGGCCGACTTACCCCCCCCCCAGATGGGGATTTAGGTCGTTCCCTTCGGGTTTCGAGGGGTGTATCCCCAGCTGGGGTGGTAATTTGGTGCGGGCCTCTCGAAGGGGATGGGGATGGGGATGGGGACCGCTTAAACGATACTGAGGTAAGGCTCCCCCTCCTCCTCCTCCTCCTCCTCCTCCTCCTCCTCCTCCTCCTCCTCCCCTCCTCCTCCTCCTCCTCCTCCTCCTCCTCCTCCTCCTCCTCCTCCTCCTCCTCCTCCTCCTCCTCCTCCTCCTCCCTCGGCTGGCCGCCGAGACCAGGCTGACCCAAACCGCCACCACCGGGGAGCCTCGAGCGCAAGGCCCTTGCCGACGCCGCGCGCTGCGGTTGAACGGTGCCCACCCCCAGCGCGAGCACGAGTAATACAGGGCGATGCGGCGGCGGGCCGAGGGGGGAAGCGAACGAGGACGAGGACGAGGACGAGGACGAGGACGAGGACGACGACGAGGAGGAGGAGGGGGAGGAGGAGGAGAACGTCGACGTCGACGACGACGACGACGACGACGACGAGGACGAGGACGAGGACGAGGAGGAGGACGAGGACGGCGGCGACGCCGACGACGGCGGCGACGAGGGCGAGAACGACGACGAGGACGACCGCGACGAGGACGACGAGGACGACCACGAGGGGGCAGGCCCTTTTTCAAAAGGCGGCGGGGCTCCTCAAAGCCCTCCGGCCTGCCGAGAAGCCGCCTGCGTCTCCGGAGAGGGCTCGGCAAGCTTCTCAGCCGAGAAACCCATCGGGGCGCGTCGCTTCTGCAGGATCCGTGCCGAACGAGTCCGGCACGAGGTGTGCCCTCTGCACTGCTGCGCGGTGTCCCCAGGCTGGGACGTGCGCCACACCCCCTCGGAGGCAACTACTGGGAGGTCTTCGTCGGAAGGATTAGGGGGGGATTGAGCCCCGTTAGGGGGCTGTTACGCCGGAGTGGGCCTCGGAGTAAGCGAAATGAAGCCGAAAAAAGCGGGATTAAGCGGGATTAAGCCGGACTAAGCGGGATTAAGCCGGATCCTGGACCAGGGCTACATCAGAATTTGACCTCCCAGGAGTTGCATCCGAACTCCCCGGCTGCTGCGAGCAAAGAAAGAAGGACATATGTGCATGCACGCCCTCCACGGCCCCGCGTGCACGAGCGACCGCGTCCAGGCGCAGGCCGGCGAGAGCTGACCGCGCACGTGTGCACATGCTGTTGGCCCCTGTTGGCCTTCAAGATTGCCCGGGCGCCCATCGCATGGGTTACCTGGGACGCACAGAGACATACTAATACTATATGTCCGCCTTGGAGGCGCGCGTCCGACCCGAACATATAGTACACCCATCTTGTATTATATCGTTTCTCGAGCGGTGTGGCTAGAAAGCGCCCGCCACGACGCATATACTATAAGATTTCTCGGTGCGCGCGTCGCCCCTGGGGGGGCGACGAACACATGGTATAAGTATGTTGGGGGGACGCCGACTACCGCTTCACTCACAGGGCCGAAGAAGACTCTGTCTTCTCCAGGTGCGCATGTGCAGCGGCCAGCTACGCTCCCAAAGCCGAATGGCTTTCGAAACACATGCTCCCAATCGCTCTGACAAAGGAAGTCCCGGCTTCCAGAGTGTTTTTTTCTGTATGCCAGCATTTTTATTTGACAAGGCCTGTTTGGCGAAGAACCCACCGATCACATTTACGATGCCGGTCGTTCTCTCCAGCTCTGCTTGGGAGATCTCCAGCGCACCTCGGTGAAGCCGCCGTAGTACACGCGCGAGCTGCCGAGAGATTATCGTATGCTGCTAAGCTCACCCAGAGGGTGCGTATTTTCTTACCCCAAACAAGCAACATAAGCACTTCGAATGCCGCATTGGACGCTGAATGCGATCTGCTCCCCAGGCGCGTCAGGATTGCTGCATACGCCTGGCCGGTGACGGCCGTCTCCTCATCACTCCAAGCGGGGACACTGCTTGAAAGACACAGGCGCGCGTGGCGCATGTGCCACTTCGAAGCGCGTGTTGACCTGGACATCGCTGCCCAACAACGCACCCGACGCCTCGTCATCCAGCAGGTAGGTGTGCAGCGCGTGCGGCGGGGGGGGGTACAGTCAACCCGTACAGCAAGGATGCGCGATGAGGATGCAAGGCCCTTGGAAGCCCATTTCGAAGGTTTCGAGCGGGGCGCGGCCAACGAACGTGGCCAAGGATGCACCGAGGATGCAAGGATGCAAGGGTACCCATGGGATGGTTGCCCGTCCTTACTATGCGGGTTGACTGCAGCCGCCCGAACGCGAGGCAAACCGCGCGGATTCGGGCCA